AGAAGTCAGTAAAAAGTGCAGACAGGCACGCCACCAGGAGACACCAAGCCCTGGAAAGAGAGTTTTCTAGGGCACAAAAATTAGCCGTCTGGACACTTCTCATACGGGAGGGCGGGGGCAGGAGTCTCTAGTTCCAGCTACTCTATCGCCTCAACGTATACACTGTGGCTGGGCTTCGCCACACCGAACAGCCTTCTTTTCCATCAGAGGTGCGATTGTCCATGTTGATAACTCAAGCTGTGGACCGCGCTTTAAACGCTAGAGCAGTTCCTAAACCTCCAGTCATAGTTCCCCCTCCTATCTGTCAACAGTCTGAAGAGCCCCAATCTGGCCCTTCCTCTCCGGCTGAATCCTGTTATTCTGAGGTTTTGTCGCTACCTGATCAGGGCTCTGACCAGGAATTTCCGATGTCTGAGAAGGAGGAACAGTCGGCAGACGCTCCAGCGCCCACTGGAATGTTCCACTCTTCGGCATTTGTTACTTTGCTCCGCAAGGTCTCTTCCACCGCACACCGTGGTTCTGAGCCTCCTTCCACAGCGACTACTGTTGCTCCCGATTCGGATTTTGATCCAAATTTCATTGAACCGGTGACAGCTCAGCACCGGATCCCATGTCCGCCCATGTTTATAACTGTGGTAAAGAAACAATGGGCACTGCCAGCCTCCTTTCCCCTTCCGAGTGCCACGGACAAAAAAGTTGTTCAACGTGGCCAAGGAGTTGGAGGAAGCGTTGCAGGTCCCTGCGGTGGACGAGCCTTTTGGACCATTGATTTCACCGACAGTCATTGCAAGGGATGTGTCGGAAGCTTTGAAGTCTGAGGACCGTAAGTGCGAGTTATCTTTTCGCAGGATCCACCAGGCTACCGCTTGGGCCATTAGGGCAACGACCTCAGCGTCGCTTTTCACTAGTGCAGCCCACCGTTGGCTAAAACAACTACAGGCCCGCACCCTCAAGGATGAGGTCCGCTCTCAACAGGACATCAGTAAGATGGTGGCGGCAATGGAGCACGCCTCAGATGCTACGCTCCAGGCGACTAAGTTCGCTTCCAGGGCCATGGCTTCAGGGATCACCAGTCGACGCATGCTTTGGCTTAAGCATTGGCATGCTGATGCCAAATCCAAGTGGCGTCTGTCCTCTGCCCCGTACCAG